GTCGAGATATCACCCATTTTAGACATGTTTGGAATGGAACATACTGGTACTTTTTCCAAACTCTTTTGCGTTCAGGAAAGTTTATCTATTAAATTAAAATTAAATTCAAATAGCAGATGAAAAAAATATTTTATTTTATAAAAATGGAACTCCTTAGTCAACATAATTTTTTTTTTTTTTTTGGTGGAGAAATGGTTTCGCCAGAAATTTGAGAGAGATTTTTGGGTTTTGCTGCAGCTTCAGAGATTTTTCTCTTTTTTTATTTTTTAATGGTGCAATTCCCAGTGAAACTCAGTCCTAAAGAAACTAGTTCAATCACAACCACATTTTGTGCATATTTTCCATGGGGGCAAGCTTAAAAGGTCTGAAATGGAAAGCTGAAGAGAGCACCATGGCCATGTTTTCATTAGTCCAGACCAGGGCTCTATAGAGGCACCCTGGCTTTACACTCTATACAACCTCTGGATGCTCTGGGAGCTATCTCAAGAGGACCGCTGAAACCAAAGGGAGCTCTCTTAGGGTCTCACACCTAAACATATGGGCTCAGAGTTCCTCTCCACCTGTGAATTATAAAACCTCAGCATCTTTTCAGTGCTCAACCAATAACAATATCATATCAACAAGGGAGAAAGAAACTTGCTTGTAGTGCCTTTTAAAAAATGACATAATAAAGCAATGGTCTTCTTATCTGAGACACTTACCAGTAAGAGGCTATTATAATTTTTTCCTCTATCCTTTAGAAACCTTGTGAATAGATTTATTAAATCTCATTTGCTGTTAAATGTGCTACATAGCACTTTGTAAGTGGGTTGTGTTCGGTGTTGAATAAAAGAACAGGATGTCACAAACCCCTCGTTATTTTAATTTTGATATCTATAGTCATCGTTTCAAGTTGATGAAAGACATGTACCGTTCACAGCAAAATGGTATTGTTTTACTTCATTCTGAAACATTTTTGCAATGAGAAAAATGACCATAGCTGAGTCCTCAATTTTCCATCAGAGATAGATAATTTTATCGTCAGGCTGATAGTTACGGGATTATGTCTGTTCTGGAAACGTTGAAAAACCTGTCACACTGTAGATAAATTGCAACCTCAGTAGCACTGGAAATTCCAAAATACAATTCAGGTGATACTATTATGAACATCAGAATCAATCCCGTAGTTCTGAAGGAACCAGGATTAGGGAAAAAGTTAAAAAAAAACCCAACCCAGCACTGTTCACATATCGAAATTAAAACAGTCACTGATGACTCCACAAAGAGACAGCTCAAATTATCCTCACAATTATCAGGTAGAAGACTGCAAATTATACTCCCAGTTCACAAAGAAAAAGCAATCTAGAGGAGAACTGCTGATTTACATAATCAATATAATACAAATTCAGGGAGGCCACTTTTCAGCACACACAAAAAAGAAAGCAGAGCAGGAGATGGGATTTGCACTAGGCAGATAATGGAAGTAGAACCCTGCTGAGAGAAAACTGAGATAAAAGAAAAAGGACTTTAGAGGGAGGAGGCAGGACAGCACCACCTTGCCTGTGTGCCAACCCAAGTGCTGGCTCTAAGAAAGCTGCAGTGGGGGAGATGATTTAAGGTATCTTTTCATAATGTCATCTGAAATGGAGAGTAAGCCGCTGGACTGGCTTCTTGCAGTCTAAAATGTTCTTTGCTGGAAGTCGCAAGTATCTGATGGTTTCCAGGAGACAGAGGCAGATCCTTACTTCTTTTAATTGCAATATTCAAATTCTAAATTACAGTGTTCAATTTTAATTATAACATTCAATTACAATTAAAATATTCCAAGTACCTTTGGACTGTGATGATCCAATGAATCGAACCTGTTCATTCCCCACCCCACCTCTTTTTATGGTGTACATGCTCCAGGAGATGGCTTAACAGCTCAAGAATCTGAGAAGTATGCCACAAAGTCAGTCACACTGAAAGAGTCCTTCCCCTAAGCATCAGATAGCTGTGAAGGACCAAATGTCTTACAGTTATTCTTATATGGGTATTTCTACCTGCAGCATCTCACTGCTGGAGGGAAGCTGCTCATTCCCAGGCATCACTGCAGGAGACATCCATTTTGTAGATGTGGCCTAAAAAGTTGATGAACGTGTTCATTTGGGCTTGTAGCTGAAACTGCAAACTTGTAAATAAGAACAGACTCAATTATAAGAGTCCCAATTACAACTGGCTCGGTCCAAAGGTAGGAGGTGATTCCCATGGGATTGTGAGCACTGATTATCAGGGAGCTGGTCCTGCAAGATTGGTTTTGGTCTCTGGCCACGGTCTAAAAAGGGCTTAGACACATTTGTAACTTTAAGCATATTTCTGTGTGGAGTCACTGGGACTCTGGGAGCTCAACACTGGACCCAGCCCAGATGAACTTGTGGAAAGCAGCAGTGATGAGAACGGGTATGTGTGCGGCTGGCCAGGCTTTAGCCCTTGCGTGGTCCTCCCCAAGAAAATGTCTCAGGACACGAGCTGCAGTGAGTGCAAGTGTGTGCGTGTGTAAACAGGCCACAGCAAATACAGCATGCAAAAGTAAGTGGCCAAGCATGGGTCATCAGGTCTGTGCAACTGCAAAGCCATTATTCTCGTTAGGCTTCTTCCTTTGCTCAAAAGCAGCTGAAATGCAGTGCTGGAGCCAACAGACCGAGCTGTGAAAACATATTTCGGTGCCATGGCAGAAACTCCCTCCTGCTTGTATTGGCAAAACTCCCTCTGACTCCCATCAGGGGGGTCCCAGCCCAAGCGTGGCATGGTTCATCCTCTGGATTGCTGAACCGGGACCAAGGCAGGCCGAAATGAGCTGCCAGAAAGCTGATCGCAGCACTCTGCTGCTCTGGACCATGGCGAGTGATGCAAGATTCAAAACCTTGGAAGGAAACTAAAAATACATTTACTGGGAAATAATACATTCTTTCTAATCTGAGTCAAACCTAAAAATTAAACAGCTATAATTATCAAACCTAATTTAATTAAAACTAGCTACTCACCATCTGGTGTTATTTGTATAAATTTGGAAATCTACTATTTCATATTAAATTCCTCCATTTAACAAATTATGTTAGAGAATATATTTCTCCACTATAATCATTATGTAATTGATAATTTTACAAATTATATTTCCTTCCACTTGATAGAAATATATTTTGTATAATAGCAGGGCAGATGATCTGCTACTTTTTTCATCAAAACTGAATTTAAAATTAGGACTTGCACCATCAATAAAAAATAATTCACTGAAGTAGAAAAATGTATGATGAGGCAGGATTTTTTTATTTCTCAGCTTGGTCATTGAGAGTATAAATGGGAACTCCACGGGATTTTTTCTGCAGATGTAATTGTATATGCAGATATATAGTACTGTATGTCTACTCTGTGTATGCTATGTTCTGTAATAGCAAGTGAAGAACAGGAGTTTGATTTGAAGAGCTCTGTACTTTCTTTCCTGATCAGTGTGGAAAAGTATGGTTTTAGACATTTTAAAATGTATTGTCAAAAATCTATTTCTCTCCAAAGACATATAATGAACATTTATACAGTGATATGTAAAACTAATGCCAAAATAACAGAGAACATCGCAAGAAGACTACGAATTGATTAACAGCTAAATATGAATATTTGACACAGCGAGCATGGGAGTCGTGGGTTTCTCAGTGACTTCTTTAAAGACTTTTTGACACGTAGGTATTTCTACAAGAAAGGAGAGCAACCTGTAAGTATCATTAAATCCATTGCAATGAGCTCAACTGGATGTGTTGACAGAAGGATACACACAGTGGGCATGCACAGGAGGCTGCAGGATGAAGAGAAATCACAGTGAAGTGTTGAGATAGCAGAATGGGTGCAGTTTAGGACACAAGCTACCTAACTCAGGTTTGGAGACATGGAGTTTATCCCAACTTGCCTGCTGATCTGCAACATGAATTTGAATTAATCTGTTCACGTGTTCCCAATTGATGCAGATTGTGAGGACTTCTGGGCAGTGGATGTTCTCCAGCTGTACTTGGGTCAAGACAGAGGAGCTCTTAGTGGTGACCTTAAGGCAGCACTGTAAAAATAAGTAACAGCAAAATGCAACAGACTAAATGCATCATTCAGACCGGATGCTGAGAAAAAGGAAAGGAAACAGGGGAAAGAAAGAGGAGGAAAAAAATGCTTCCTCAATCATAAAAAGACACATTTTCAAAAATATATTTGCACTGAAGGTTTTGTCATGCCATCTCCTGTGACTGCAAAAAACATGAGTTAGTAAGCCACCTATTTGCAATTCCCTAAGAATAAATGCAGGGAATTCCCTAAAATATAAATGCAGGGACACTCCTAAGCCATGCACAGTGACTCGAGATCTTCCTCAGAGTGAAGTATTCATTAGTAACAATAGCATATAGAAATGATAAAGGAAAGAGTGCTCATGTTTAGCTTATTTGATGAACAATTATCTTCTATGTAGGAACCTTGGCTGGTCTGAGTTTCCTGGGTCTCCCCAGCAAGCAAGTTGCTTCCACCCCTTTTTCCCTTATGTGGCACCCAGGCTTTTTCATGGCTTTTCCCTGGCCCTGCCCTGGAGCTCCCTCCTTGCAGTGGGCCACTGCATTATACAATAGCTCTGTTTTACTGATGAACGACTTGCAAAGTTTCACCCCCTTTTTACTCATCAGTATTTATAGCACGCAGCAGCAGCAGCCAGTGCATCATGTTTGGTACTTTGCTATTTAACAGGCAAATGAATCCATCACAGATGAGTTTTGTTGTTCAGCTACTGTTGGACTCTGCCCTTATAGGACCCTAAACCCGATGATGTTTTTTGGGCATGAGCTGCTTTACAGCACAAGGGGCCAAGCAGAAGAGCACGAAGGAGCCCAAACGCAAGATGCTCAGATGTGTGCAGAGAATGCAACATGACAAACTGCTAGGTTTGGTTAAATCGGGACTGTTAATTATAGCAGTTTAAATTGGGTTCTGACTCAGATTTTGAATTCATAGTGGCAAGATGACAGCCTGGAGAAGGTGTTTGCAAATGGCTGACTCAGAGGATGATGATCAGCACAACGGTGCCTTCTGCCTGTGCTAGTACTATGTGTTTATAGGAGCGATGTTATAAGGTGACAGTTGCCAGTTCAGCTCCACCCCTTGATCTGTTCACCAGAGATTATGAAGCCTGGAAAGACAAAATGAGCAAATGGAGGAAGGAGCATATTAATTGGGTGAGTACAAAATGGCAATCCGCCATCTCTTTTAGTGCTCTGTCCTCTTCTTTCCACACGTAATGTCAGGTTTCCAGATTTTTCTGTAGGCATGCAGCTGCTTTTGACTTGAGTTGATGAAGTGGCTTCTGAGAGAAGAATGACTAGTTCCTAAATACTCTCTCTGAGACAGAGCTACAGAATGCCGGTTCTCCAAACCCGGTTCTAAAAATTATGAGGCTGCAGACAAGGGAGGCCACAGCTCCTGGTCCCTACTGAGAGACCCCAGGAATCCAGTGCCCTTGGTGGGGCTGCAGGAGCCAGGGGCTCCCAGGACCCCTCCGGCATCTGGGGGTGCCAGAACCTGGGAGTCCAGCACTTCCCTGCAGGGATAGACCCTGGGGAAAAGCTGCCTGATAGGAGGGCTGCAAAACCTGCCTTAATTTCTGACCAAATTCCACCAGAATTGAGCACTGGTGCTGGAAATACCAGATCTAACAGATCTCCAGTGTTGTCTCTCCTCTCCCAAAAATGATTTTGTTTTTTTTTCTACCAGTTTGCCTTGAAGTCATTTCATTCATGCTTTCATGCAAAATGAAAATATCCAAGATTTCCTTCCATGTGTACTCACGGTACAGATGCTTGACTCTTCAAATGGTTGCTGAAATTCATTTGTAAGCATTGTAGGTGACTAAGTTTTGTAACTGTACTTTGTGAGTTACAAGCAAGGGTCAAAAATCTAATACCACATGAATAATGTAGCTAACCCTCGCTTTGATCTTAGAAATCTTTATATCTGTGCTTGGCTGGGTACACTGTCAGTCAGCCACTGAACGACAAGGGGAAAGGATTTGTTACAAACTACTTGTGACTGAGACAGAAGCCAAGAAGTAACATCACTTATCAGTTGCTTGTAGAAATAATGTATAGCTCCTGAAATTATTGTTTTCAAATCTCTAACTCTGCTCTAATAATTACTAGAATTGAGACACTAATATATTCTATGAATTACTGGTTTTCATCCATTGAATAGCTGAGAACAGATTGTGATTCCCCAGTCTATTTGTTATTCAAATGAATTCAACAGATACCTTTTCTAATATTTAACTCTGTGGATTGAAAGCAAATATCCACAGTATGTAGTTGCTGATGCTTTGATAAATCACATGGATCGTTTCTGTTTCTTGACAGGAACACTGTGCAGATACCTAAGCTGAATCCTTGTTTATGCAAATGTATGCCTGGGTTTTCACAAGAACTTACAGATGTGGCTTTAAAACCTGTTTCTTTGTGCCTTTTTGTTTTGTTTTGTTACCAAAGGTCTGTTTCCCAAATTTTCACAGAAAAATGAACGCAAAGGAAATTTTACTGGGGCTAAAGCAAACTTACTTACTCATTTTTTATTTTATATATTTTTTTTTCATGGAATATCTATGAACAGACTGTGATCGAGGCCGTGATGCAGAAAGGTGATTTATGATAGGCTTAGCTTTAAATGTGCTGTCCTGCTCCCATTGAATTCAATGTGATTGAGCAAGCATAAAATGAAGTATGAGCATTGTCTTGGGAAGATCAGAACCTAAACTAAGATTATCTGAAAACTTTCTGAATTATTCGGCTCTAATAATCACTGTTTGGTCACTGCTCCTCAAAGAACTAGGTCTGCCTTCACTGCTTGCCTGTCCTCTAGATGACTGGAACCGTGGAATATTGATACTGTTCCCCTGTGCAAATAAAAGCAACAAAGATAACAGTGAGCATCCTCAAACGTGCATTCATAAAGGAGCAAACCCTGGACAAATGAACAGTCATTGTGGATTTTCTAGGGGTGGCCAACAATATTTTTCACAATGTAACTTATTTCATCAACAAATTCTTTTTTTTTTTTTCTTTCAGAGTAGATTTTTGGAAGTAAGCAAGAACATTTCTCAAGGGCTTCCAGCAGGATTTCACAGAGTTTAGGCTGCGTGTAGCTGACGGGAGGAGGATGGGCAGAGGCATACCTATCAAAGATCATGTAATCCTATTTATTAATCCACTGCAGAAATCCTGCAGGCAACATCAGGGAGCCTGATCACTGGCAGAGAAGAAACTGATATTCATGTGTTAACTGAACTGTAATTATAATCTCCACAGCAAAACCACACAGTTCCCTGGAAACTACTCTTCTGTTGGGAGGATTCTTCCGGGTAGCTTTTGTGCTACTGCTTTCCAGTTTGGGAGGCCATCCTTACAACTACACTAACAGTACACTGCTTTCAGGTTTGTGTGCCTGTTCTATAGAGGAGCCATATAAATCCATCGCACAAACTGAACCTGATTTGCGGTCCCTGCTGTGCAATAGATGCTCTGAAGGTGGAGAGACATCCTCTAGCAAAAGCATAAAATCAGAGTGGAGCATCTTTCCCCAGCTACAAATTTACGCTTAGCCATATCAGAAATGTTCTAACCTACATTTGTGCCTGAAACAACTCAGTTGGAGGAATGAACAAAGCATAGTTATGGAGATTTTCAGGTTTTTATGTTCTCCAGTGATACATTTACCAGTCAAGAAAAAGGCTGAGAGAGAAGGGAAGACAAAGCATCTCCAGATCAGCTTGCAGTTTGGATGAGCAGCTCTGTTACTGCTTATGACTGTCTCTATTCATCCAGCTATGATATATCCCACTGGTATGTTGTAGGTATGTCACCTCTGCCTTTCCCCTCACTCCTCTGAAAACATTTGTGGCTGTGTTTGCACCACAGATGATTCTCATAAGGTGTTTAAATAGAGGATAGCCAAGCCCTTCCTTTGGCAAGGTACTATCAATGCTGCCAAACTCCAAAATGAGATGCTGCCACCAGTCAGTCATTTGAACTTTGAATGGCCCTGGGAATAGTTTCTCGTACAGGAACCATTCCCAGCAGGACTGCTCCTGCCCAACCACTTACTGCAGTGAAGAGGGCCCACATAGTGGGCCAGTTTCTGACGCCTCATTGTGGAGAGGTGCAGTGGATGAAGGAGGCAGAGTGGCTCCCAGAACCACTGCTGCTCTAATGCTGCTCTAAAGAACACAAAAAGGCAGGTGGGCAGGGAGAAAATTAAAAAATGAATAAAATAAATAAAAAGGCAGGTGGGTAGGAACAAATGGGGAGCAAGTGGTGAGACAGGCTGGCAGGTGCTGGGGATGGTGGGAGGATGCTGGAGGGCACAAGCTCAGCTCTGTGCGTGTTGCCCCTTCTCAGGGCTGATGGCCTGCAGCAAAGCAGTGGTAAAAGCAGGCATTGTTTCAAAGCATTTACCCAGTCATTCTTAAAGGGTTTGTACAGGTTTGTTAGAGGTTGGAAGCAAAAGCGTGAGCAAAAACATAAGGCAAGCCCTCAGGATAGATGTACTCTGTGAGACAGTGTAATCTGGTCCTGCTGCTTACCAGCTTTCACCTGGTTAACTCTAGGTCACAATGAAGCTATATAGTCAGAACTGATTATTCATGACCCCAGACAAGAACGTAACCTTTCTATCTTTAGACTCCATTGAAATGGCAATACCCTGATTATGGAATATTTTTCCGCTAATTAGGAATGCAGGCTCTACAGGTCACTGGGAGTTCATGCTATTCCCTTGGCATAAGCAGATGTCTTCAAGATAAACCTGTACTAAACACATCAACAGCTCTGCGCTATCTTTTATGCGTTGAGGGGGAGGAGAGGGGGAAAGAAAGAAAAGGAAAGAAAAAGAGAGACAGCAGCTTGCTGAAGACTGAAGAGACAGATGACTCCAGGAGCTGAGTATTAATTTATGAACATCAAGCAAATAATTGCCTTTCAGGTACTGGCTCCTGGGCTCTGCAGCACATAGTTACCAATCTGCAAGCAGGCCTCATTGGGCAAGTACAAATCTGAGGCAAGGAGCATGAGCTGCTCAGCCTGCAGGTCCTGCGGGGCTGTGCTGGCTTCATGCAGGGCCATGGCAGGCATCTGTACCGTGCTCACAGCATGGAGATGGTGGGGAGTACAGCACGTAGGCACCTGGGTAACCATCATCACAAGACTCTGTACAAACTTGGTTCAGCAGCATCTTCTCTCCTGTTTCTTTCTGCCCTCTATTTTTCTCCTTTTTCTTTACTTTATCCCCCTGCCCCACCACAGTCTTCTTCTCTGCTTTCTAGCTGCTAGCCACATTCTCCATTCACATTCAGATCTCCTTCACCTTTCCTTGCCCACCTTAAGCAAACCCTCACATCTCTAAACTTTGTTCCTTCCTGATCTGATCTTTTCCTGATTTACTTTCCCATTTCTCATTCAGAGGTATGCCTTATTCCAACTGCAGTCTATCCAGGATCCTCTTCTACTCGTTGTTCTTGCTATGATTTTCTTTTCTACAGCAAAGGTCTCCCTCCCAGAGACAACCGGCCATGTTTCCTGGTGAAGTTACCTCCATCTGCCTTCCCATCAATCTTCTCTGTACCAACTGCTGTGATTCAGCTGGCAAGCACCATGCTCTCCTTGAAGCCCATGACCCTCCTGAAATACTTGCTCACTGGAGGAGGGAGTTGCTGGCATTGCGGTGCCAGCAGAGAAGTGGGGTGACAGGCTCTATTTCTCTGAGCAGGCATGATGGCTGTACCAGTCCAGAACTACACTCATACTTTCCAAACAAATAGCAAGTATTTTATTTTGTTGGCCAAGTGGGAGAGCTGAATTGTTTGCATCCTTGTGGCTTATAAATCTTCATGTGACAGGTCATGATGGTGAAGGCATCTGCCATGCTTTGCTCTTTGGGAAGCAACTGGCTGAATTTCAACTGCTATAAATACAGAGTGCTGTTTAACATGAAGATAGACTCTCTCCTGGTTGTTTTCTGGAAGGGTGATGCACTGCTTAGCTATGTCTAGCCTGTGCAATGAACACTATAAGCATGCCCCTGTATGGTTTATCCTGCAGAATACTCAAGCATTTGCAGTTGATACAGATGCAGGACAGCGTCAGCTATCCCTCAGGTTCTGAGCTAGGATTTTGACTGCACTGCTGCACAGCCATTT